CCATTACAGCCTTGTGTCATTTAACCCTGATTATAAAAAAAAATGTTTTATTGATAATTCCATCTTCTTAGGTAACTTTCACTGAATACATCCCATCTCTTTTATACCAGCTTCAAATCCAGTTTAAAATTGGCTACAGTTAATTTCCAAGTAACTTCCTAAAAAAAGCTAAATTCCTAAATTCCTTAATCCTTCCTTATACAAGAAGTTGCTGTTTACACAAGTCACATCACTGACTCCAGTAGGATGACTCATGCCAGAGGTTGGTCTGAATTAGACTAATCCTCCTGCCCTCCCCCTTTTTTTTTTTAAGAATTTAAAAAGTCAGAGAAGAGCTAACATGTCTCTATCTAGTCTCTGGCATCTACCAAGAACACCAAACAAAAGAGGCAGACTACCTGACAAATACCCTTTGTACTTCCCAATGAAAGTGAGATAGTCAATATCTCTAAGTTAGAGATAGCAAATATTTCTAAACTGGAGTGGAAACAAGTTTTCTCCACTACTAGGTACAACAGAAACTTCAGTATTTGAAAATCTAAGAGAGCAATATACTGGTATAAGCAGTGTATGAAAGGAGCCAGCAATGTCTCAGGGATTAGGCAGGAAGAATGCACAAGTCCATTTTATTGTTTTCAGCAGAACTAACCCCACACCCAGTCGCTATGGAGACCACAGGACCCTATGGACACAACTTCAGTGAAAAAACTTCTTTTAAAACTAATTAATTGTCTTTGAAATCTCAAAGAAGATTGTACATCCCATTTTCATGCTACTGTATGGTTAGCAGCCTTACCTGTTCATCTTGCAACATCTCTTTCAGTCTTCGATTCTTGTAAAGTACTTGTGGCTTTAATTACCAACCTACTTTGAAATCTAAACCAAGTGATAGAAAAAATGTTTGTCTGCAATTATGAGGGAACACTTTTTTTTCTTTCCAACTTGTTTTTAAGATTACGCTTTCCCTATCTTTCCTATAGCCTTGGCTACTATAAAAATAGACTCAGTTTAGCAATCAGTGCAACTTGAAGCAGAGTAAAGACAGATTAGCTCATCTTCAAATGCCTATAGAGCCCTGTCATCATCATGGCAGCTGTGCTGATTGCTAGCTACCCATATGTGCAAGTTCTCTAGCATAGGAAAGGTCTGGAAAAACCGTGGAGCTGTGTTAATCCCACCATAACAGATACACGTTCCAAACTATAAATCTAAATTTGGCTTCTGGTATGTGTGGCCAGAGCTGCCTGAGCTGTGTCTGCACTCAGCCTTGGTGATACTTGGGTGTGTAGTATGCTATTGAGACCCACCAACTCGTAACAGCATGCCAGGTCTTCATTCAGTCACTTTATGGGACTGAATAGGACAGAAAATAGGAAAAAAAAGTAGAAACCTCAGAAGTTGTGGGGAATTAAAGCATGGAGAAATAGTTTTATTTCCTGCAAACTTGTCAAATTGGTTCTTAATTTTTTTCAATAATTCGCATAACTCTGGGATTTGCAATTTCTTATTTATATTATACTTGTCAATAAATGAAACTCACTGACAAATAACATTTCCAGTGTTGAAGCCACAAAGGTAGCTGACCTATTGGTCCAAAATATGAAGGCATAAATGCATATGTTTTGAAAATTACGATAGAGCAAGCTTTTCAGCTAGACTGTCAAAAATTACTCCCTCAAAATTAGTTATTAGGTACATACTAGTAACACCTAAGAAACACAAGAAAGACTAACCACTGAAAGCAGGGCATTCTCTGTCTTTCTGCGTCTTCAAAGTAAGATAAAATATACCTTGAACTGTATGCTTTAAATAAGTGCTAGTTACTGACCTCAAGTCAGAGAAAGAAGGCAATGTTTAATGTCATATGCTGGTCAGACTTGATGATGCTACAGGACTTCTGACTAAATTACGAAAAATGGAATTGTATTCAGCTTCTTAAATACTCCAAAGACTCCTCTACCTGTCAAAAGGAAGAGTTTTTTTAAAAAAGTCAGGTCAAAGCCACTGCCCTGGATTAGAAATCAAACCCCTGAAACCCCCACAAAAGAGCTGAGTAGGGAGTTGTCTTCAGTAACTATTTCACGTTCAAGTCCAAGGCTGTGGAGATGCCCAGGGCTCATAGACCCCTGTGTCAACCTGGCTAGCAGTGTGTGGGGGGTGCTGTCACACAAAGACTGGTCCCTTCTGCTGGGCCACATGCTGGGCTAGCTGTTTTTGTGGCCATGGTCTACCTGAGCCAGGAAAAAGATCACTTCATGTTAATAAAAAGGTAAATCAGTTATTGCTGGTGACACAGAGTAAGCCAGCTACCACTCCTCTGTCCAAGGTGACACAGTGTGGGCAGTCTTCACTGGAGTGTGGCAGAAAGGGTAACATGTCATCACCTCTGACCTCATCTACCTGTTTTGGCCACTCAAGAGAATCTAACAAAGCAAATGTCCACAGAGATGGACAAGCCGCTGAGGTCAGTGTCCGCTTTCCAGGGGCAGTCGGAAGGGGAAGGGTTAGGCCCCGTCCCCAGCTGTGGGTCACACACCGCATGGCTGCGGCAGCAACACCTTTCCCCTCCCAACACCTTCCCGCTGCTACAGCTCCCTATTGCGGGCAGCCGCTTTCTTTCCTGTGTACTTGACTGCCCTCTCCAGTCACCTCCGTGCAGCAGCACATCCATCCTTTAACAAGTTAGCTGCTTTTTAGCTTGCGTTCTGACACAACTGCCTTATCGTGGCCTTAGAAGTTCTTCCCGGTAGGTAAGAGGGCAGAGCTCCCTGTGTGGGGCAGTCCCAGGCACCTCTACAACAACGCTCAGGCCATCTCAGCACAACCTTTGCACACGGATTTCTAGGCAGGCAGAAGCAACTTGCATAGCATTTTCTAGAGTAAGAAATTAAGTAATAGGCCACAAAAAATAATATGTTGAATATTAGAAATTTCAGCCATATACCAAGACATCTTAAGATAGAGCCAAACACTCTTTCCCCCCACAACAGCAGAGCAACCAGACAACTGTATCATGCAGAGAATATTAGAACCAGACAATCACAGAAGAGTTAGGGTTGGAAAGGACCTTAAGATCATCTAGTTCCAGCCCCCCTGCCATGGGCAGGGACACCTCCCACGAAACCGTGCCACCCAAGGCTCCATCCAACCTGGCCTTGAACACCACCAGGGATGGAGCATTCACAGCTTCCCTGGGCAACCCATTCCAGGGTATTCCATGTAGCCCGCCTCACAGCTTTTTATAGGTGGCCTCCCAGCAACAGTTTTACTGCTGTAGGAATTTCTTACCAAATCTTCTGTAATCTCCGCAGAAGAGCCCAGCAAAAAGCACAGTGCTTTGGGCAGGAATGGCTGGGAATGAAATACAGAGACAAGGAAAAAAGCACAAAACCAATCCAAACACTCCCAAAGTCAAACCCCTCTATAGCAACCCTTTTGTGCAACAGTGCTCATGCTGGAAAAATGTCAGGACTTGCTGCATGAGTTGTTAAAAAAAAAACCACCAAACCAGTGTTACATGCACATCATTAACACACAGTTAAAAGAGCAGTCTATTCAGCTTCAGGTAGAGAACAGCAGAGCCAACATTTCCCACTGCGTTTCTCTACGTTGTCAAAGTCACTGTCAAGCAAACTGGTAGCAAAGATCAAATGAAAGCAAGAGCTGCCCAACATTTCTACCTGTGGGCACCTTTCCCAAGGCCATAGTGACTTCTGTGGAAAAGTTCAGCACTGATTTCGAAGTCCCAAAAGGTCACTGTCACTGAATAGAAAATGCTGGATTTAAGATGGTCCAAATCATTAGTTTTAAAACGGGAAGGTATTACGTAGTATCCATAATATAAAACACTTAATATATTATGTAGTATTCATAATATCACTTAATAAAATTAAATGCATTGCTAGTAGCTTATCTTTAAGAACAAATAGCTTATTAATAGTTTATTACTGGCTTTCTGGGCTGCAGGCACACACTGCCAGCTTATGTTGAGCTTCTCATCAATAAACACCCCAAGTCTTTCTCCTCAGGGCTGCTGCCAACCCAAACCTGAATTGGTGCTGAGCACTGGGTAATGAGCAGCATTCTAAATAATAAGACTGACCTTGTCAGTGATAGAAATGTCATTACCAGTTTACTTTAGCCCAGTAGCGAGACCTACTGCTAATTTGTAATCAGCAGGTGGGCTGCGTCGGTGACTGCAATTTAGAAGAATAGAGATAGTCCTGTGCACTTTCCCGGTGGCACCCCTTTGGACCTCATTGTCCCTCTCTCTGTGCCTGTTCCCATTTGTGCCACGAGAGAGCAGTCTCGGCCTATGCACGGCTCTGCTCACCTCCCAGCTGAAGAGCCGGGTAGGGCCTGGGAGGTGCGAGGGGTTACGAGATGCTAATACAGGGCTCAGTCCCTGCTGCACACGGTGCTTGTCGAGCTACACCAGCTGTAACTGCCCGATTACCTACATTTCCTGCACCCCTAGAACAAATGGCTGGAGTCGACTTGAGAAGAGTGGAACAAAAAAAGCTCACTCCAAAGCTGGCGCTGTTTCACAACCGCGTTTAGTAAGCTGCGGTTCTCCCTCTTCCGCTCCAGGGGCAGTGCGGCCCCGGGAGCATGCCCGGCTTCGTGGCCGGACACGAACACCACGGAGAGCCGGCAACCGGCAACGGGACCTGCCGCATACCACTGCGGGGAGAGGCGGCTGTGGGCAGGCTGACCAGGAAGTGACGGGGCGCTGCTGCCCCCGCTAATGGCCTCCATACCTGGGGCCACCCCGTCGGCTCAGACCACGGCCCGGCACAGGTTGCCCCTTCCTGCTGCACCACGAAGCCCCCGCCGCGCTGCTCGGGCGCAGCAGGGGCCCGGCTTTCCCCAGCTTCTCACGGGCCGTAACCCCGCAGCACCGCGCTTCCCCCACGCCCAGGTGTGAACAAGGCCGCCAACCCCCCCGTCCTGGTTAGTGGCATCGCCGGTCTGTCACCGGCGCTGCGTCCCCGCCTCCGGCTCCGCCCCCCGCTCGGCGGCCTTAGCAGGGGCGGCGGGGCTCAACGCTCAGAGCGGCAGTTGGCAGCAGCGTCGGCAGGATGGCGGGGGTCAGTGGCGCAGATCGGCTTCGCGATGGCAGCTGCCACTTTCAGCGTTCCCGGCTCATCTGGATGATCGCCATCGCCTTCGGCATGGTCGTCCTCGGCGTAAGGAGCGGCGGGTGGGCGCGGGGCGGAGCGGCGGGCCCCTGCGGGCCCCGGGACAGACGCGCAGGCCTGTAGCAACTCCCCGGTGCCCTCGAAGCTGGAGCGGCGGAGCTCAGGGACCGGATAGGCACCTCCCGGGGTTTGCTGCTACCATAGCAGCCCTCAGCGGGGCTCGCAGGCAGCTCCGAAGCTACAGGGATTGTGGAATAGGTTTCTTTAGTAGTTCCGGCAGCCATGGAAACGCAGCTTGCTAAAGTAAACCGGGATTAAAAGGAAACTAGAAATGCTGCTTTGGCCAGGTCAGCTCCCGAGGTAGCTGAACAAATAAATCCATTAAGCTATTTCAGAGGAAAAATAAACTGCTTGAATTCCATGGTGAAGGAAGGCTGTGGCGTACAGCATCCTGGGTGCTACAGTTTGTGAGGTTTTGTGTTGCAGGTAGCCTGTGAAAGTGACTTCAGCATTCACAAAATTGAAATTACATTGTGGAGCAATAAAATTCTAGAACAGACATGGATTAGAGCAGCCTTCTGGTACCTAAAAGAGCCTACAAGAAGTCTGGAGAAGGACTTTTTACAGTGACCTGTAGTGACACGGCAAGGAGGAATGGCTTTCATCTGACAGAGGAGATTTAGATTAGACATCAGGAAGCTCTTTACTATGAGGGTGGGGAGACACCGGCACAAGTTGCCCACAACCTGGCAGTGTTCAAGACCAGGTTGGATGGGGCTTTGAGCAACCTGGTCTAGTGGAAGGTGTCCATGCCTGTGGGGCAAGGAGGTTGGAACTGGATGGTCTTTAAGGTCCCTTCCAATCCAAACCATTCTATGATACTAATAAACAAGGTGCATTCACAAGTGATGGCTTTAGTTACAGACTATATTAACTGGTAATGTTGATGGAAAACAGACTAGTTAGTCACCATGTTGGCTTAATTTGTAAAAATAGACTTAAGCTAAAATTGGTCAAATTACTGGAGTGCACAGATTAATGGCAGTTCTGATATATCAGGCAAGTCTATATTATGAGGTCCACATGCTGGAGTTTTTGTTCTGTTTGCATGGATTTTCTAAACATAAGGACTGCCACTGAAAAAATGACGGTGAGGTCAGGCCACACAGCTCACAAAACAGCTTTTGTACCATTCCAGGAAGCAGAATGAGCTTTAAGAAGATTCCATGTTTAAATCCATCATCTTGCCACATCCTTGGCATAGCCAAATTTACATGTATTTAGAAACTGCAGCATTGATACCAGAGGAAAGATAAGCTAGTGTGAACTGTGCCCTAGCTTAGTATTTACCTTACATCCCCAATGGACTCTGAAGTGCACAGCTTGCTGGCTCTCTGCTTCTCCTCCAGAGCTTGTTAAAATAAAGGTAGACAGTGGTGAGCACTGCAGACAAGTCGGTGACAGGCAAGATACCTGAACACTGTGTACACCTTCTGTCTTGGGCTTTGAGCTTAATTATCTTCTGTGCCCATTGCAAAACTGCTTTTTGTTTAACGGACAAAAGAAGACAGACTGACCACCAGCTGTAAAAAGTTATTCCTTCTTCTCAGGCTAGCCACTATTTGAATTCTCCAGGTTAGTTGCCTCAGATTAACTCCCTCAGGACAGAGACAATGTATTTTTTGCTTCTTCATTGTGTAGTAGGTAATGAGCTTAACTTAAAAGCCACTTAATGTGCAGATGCACTCTTGGTACACAGATAGCAACCTTAAACTTTTCACCTTGGCATCTTCTATGTCAGGCAAAAAAAAGATTTCATAGGTTGAATCTTCTTAAGTAAGTGTGCTTTAGAAGGCTAGTGGTCCAGTTGTTGAAGAATATGGGCCATGGCCAAGGTTAATGGAATGAAAGTTATACTGTTAATAGATGAGTTCTAAGCCATGTTCGAGAGACACTGGGGGGACTGCGCAAAAGAAGAAAGCTAATTTGAAAGTTAAGTTGACAGTAGTTCTGCCTTGAAGTAATCTTTTTTTTTCCCCCTTTTTTTTCTTTTTTTTTTTTTTTTAAGTGGGTGTCGCTTTTTCCTTCGACTATACCTTATAGTTATCTGGGAGTGTTTGGTACCTTCCTTAATTATTTAGTGGAAAACCACCACAAATGGGTATGCTATGGGTAAGTAATATTTGATTGTATGATTACTTTACATCTTTCCTGTTGCCTCTTTCTGACTCTTCTGCTTAGTGTTAACAAGCTTTCCTATAACCCACTTGTTAATTAGATCTAAAGAGCTCTTCTTTGAAGCTCATTACAACTAAGGGTATGGGGTATAAGGACACAGCAGACTAGGCAGGCTAAAACCAGTATGAAAGTTTAAAAATTCAACTTGGCATTTAACATTTGTGTTATAATGAGAGAGGGGGGAAAATCCGTCCTGCTTTTGGAGACAGTTATTAGTCCATGTGTAAACTTGTAACACCCCCTAAAAGTGGTTCTTTTGTCAAATTGTAACCCAAGTAGTCTAATTCTTTCTCTAGGAGTCTTTTTTCAGCTTCACTTATAAAACACATTTTCTACCCCACTATTAACTTATCCTGATCCTGCCCACATGAAAAATAATATGCTGAAGAAACTGCATAGTACTAAGTTTTGCTCCCTTACAAAAAACTTAGTTTTTGTTATTTTAATTAACAAAAGAGCTGGAAAACATTTCCTTGTAACCATGTTTCTCACTTGCTGGCCTCCTGTAAAGACAGGAAGACAGCAAAACAGTCTTGTTTATTTTACTATGCATCATTTAGAAAATAAGCCTTTATTTTTGCTTTAACAAGGTATTGTATTGATCCTAACTGATCCTTAAAAAAAAGCTGCTATGTGAAAATTTGTAGATCAGATTTGGTAGAGTCATTATATATGCTGAATCTATATACACAGTAATTCTCGTAGAACTAAATCTCTAAAAAGTTCAGTAATTCATGAGGACCACTAAAAGTACTTGTGTAAGTAGAAGGATAGATTTGCGTGCTAAAGTAAGATTAACTTGTACGGCTTTCACTGTGCATTCAGCTTTTTGGCTTAATCCAAGTGCTGAATCTTGAAATGGTAGGTTGAGGCATACTGTATGAGATAGATACAGTTCCTTTCATTTTCTTGGTGGACTTCAGTTTCTTTTAAGAGTACACGTGGATTTTTGGTTTTTTTTTTCTGAGATAAGAAACCTCATTTTCTGGGTGAAAATGAGATGTTACTTCTATGCTTCCAGCTTTACGCTGTCTGCATAATGCATCTTAGATATAACAGTCTTCTCCCTAATTTTCAACAAATCAAAACATGCTTTCTTTTTATTAGGTTCTGGGTATCCTGGTTGATTCACGTAGTAGAAGCCTTCTACGGTGTTAAGATGTGCCAGTAAGTTGTTCCCTCCCCTAACCCCAACATAAATTCTCTGAAAAGGATTTGTGATACAAGTGACATAAGCTACAGACTGATTTGGGTGATTCTCAGCAGTGTTATTAGTGCAGAGGATACTGATAAAATTCTTGCTGCAGTGGTAGTTTGCTAACCCTCACAAGAAGTTACTGCAAATTCTGCTGACATGGTGGCAGAAAAGCCAGGGATGGCAATTTGCAGAACTGGCAGCAGCAGGGTTTGCCAGAGTTTGTCTGTTTGCCTCTGAACAAATTGTTCACTGGATAACATAGTACCTTAGGAAGCAGAGGGAACAGTAGATAGTGTAGAAATAGGCCGATAACTTAAGGTGTTACAACTTCATCATATCTTACCTCATCAGAACTTTAAGATGGCTAATTACATGCTGAAATGATTGCATCTATATTGTGAGAATACAATTGGACATTTCTGTTTGGTACTACTGAAGATCTACTTGTATCCACAGCTTTGTGGGATAAAATACCTTGACTAATCGTACTATAAAAGTAAGGCAAGCTAAGTCTTATCTTAGGATAACAAATTATTTGGAAAGGTAGCGTGTCCAAACACACTGTCCTTCTGTTCACTTGAGTTTTGTTTGTAACAGTTCAGAAGAACCTAGGTATTGGTTTTCATACTTTACAGAGTAGCTGGCCAGTCTCTTTGCTGTTGTAAAAATGGTGTCTTTCCACTTCATTTAGTCAAGTTCACAGCTGTCTGTCACAGGTTTCTCAAGTAACATCTCTTGGAGGAAAAGGGATTTTGTTCCATGGAAAGCTGTTTAAGGTGGTTCTCAAGATAATAGAATATGGATGAACATTTTATGCCTTCAGAATGGGAGTTAGTAATAAATTTTTTACCAAGCTTCAGTTCTAAATTATGTAGCTTTAAAGTTAAAACTTTAATTCCGATTCTGCAGATATGTAGGTATGTATGCTTAAGGTGATTAAGTATGAGGGAACTTTGATTACCAGTGAATGTACCATATAGGCGAATTGTAATCAAGTAATGAAGTTTTAGAGAGTAGGGTTAAAGGCCATAAGAGAAAACGGATTGCCTGCCCGTCATAATCTCCTCAAGCATATTTCTGTAGATTACTGACCTGTTGTACTTTACTATGAGTGCCAAACACTGTATGCTTTGTACTGATATGAAAGTGATGTCTACATATGAACATCACAAAAGAGGCATGAGGAAGAACTAGGGAGGAAGAAGAAATTCATTAATCAATATTAGTACTGTCATTGGCTGTTGGCCTGTATTTCTGCATATGGCCTATTCAGATAAGCTTGCTTCATATAAGCAGGTATATGAAGCAAACTGTTTCCCAGTTTCTGCACCCATTTGGAAACACTGCAGCTGTGCTTATTAATAAAAAAATTAAGAAATGTGTTTGTCAACACTTGCTACACTATCCCTGCACATATACAGGCCAGGGAGTAACTAACAGCTGAACCCTTCTAGCAAAGGTCAGTAGAGGGAGCTCCTTTGTAAACTGATGAGTTGGAGCAGAGTTTTGCTTCACAATAATTGTTTACAGGACATGTGAAATACGTTGGTTTTGCTATCATGCTTATATCCATGCTTTTCTCTAAAATTCAGTAGTATTTCTCAGCAATGAAGTGGAGGGAAAAGTGACATCCTCCGTAATACACAGAAAAATTCACAAATGCCAAGTTAAAACTAACCAGTATAGGAAAGTCTCTGTTTAACAAATCAAGTGCCTTCAGCCTCTTACCCCTGTATTCTTCAGCCGCTTATCCCTGTATTTTTCTAGCCACAAATTCAGCTAAGAGTGCTTCCCTGTCCTGTATCACAAAGTAATTGTCAGGCCTCATTGCCCTACTAGCATACAGTCTACCTTCAGTGACTGTATTCAACAAAAAGTTGTATACAGACTTGTGTATTAAGATTAATATTAAGATACTCTAATTTCTTGATTCTTTGTACATAAACTTCCAGGATAAGTAATTTCAAATAGTATAGGCTGAAACTGCAATTTATATATTACTGAGGAAATTGAATGCATGAAATCTCTGAAAGATAACTTAAAATTCACTAAAATCACAATAACTGGTATGCTTAGTTACTGCAGGAAGTAAGTGTGAGCAGATAGAAATTAGTGATACTAGGTTCAAGTGTTCTAATCAAGTCTGCTGTATAAAGGATGGCTAGAAACATCTACCCTTACTTTGTATCACAGTATAATCTGCAAGACCGCAAGTTCTTTGACACATTTTGTGCTTTTGTTAATCTGACAGATCTAAAGGAATCACTGACCCAGCAGTTCAGTTTCATTGGTTTCTTCAGACACTCTTATTCGGGTATGCTTCCTTCGGTCTTCTGGTGTCTTACAAGCCTGCAGCCAAGAAGCAGTACTAGAAGCAGTGAAAGAACTCACTTTTTGCATTCTTCATCCTCATTTTTCGGAAAATACCCTTGATTACACATCTAGGTGCCGTAATTAACTAAAATACATTCCTGCTACATGATGCAGTGCCGTTTTACCCAAGTAACTCTCCTCTTACTAAGGAAGACAATTATAATTCACAGGGCCCTGTGGACAATTCAGTAAAAATTCAGCCCTTCAGTCTTGGCAATGCCAGAGTTTAATCCCATTTAGCATGCAAGAAGCCAAAGCTGCTCCTCTGCAGTTTTTGACATAGACTGTATAATCTGATTATCACAGAAAAGTTCCTGACAACTGGTAGTAATGGTTGGTAAATTACCTTTTCATGTGGAGGAGTTTTCTTCTACATCAGGGAGAGTATTTACAGCCACAAGGGAACTTGCACTTGTTTTGTGATAGGATTTAACTTTACATATATTTTCTCTACAGGACCTCTTAGTGGCTTTTGTTGTTGCTGTTAGACCCTGGTATTTGTACTTTGTTTCGTCAAGTTATTTTCTTCCACAAAAGACAGGCTACTGTATTGCTGCAGGCACATTAAAAAGACCAAATCTCACTCTGGTTGAGGTGCGGTGGTGAGCTCGGACATGTAATGCACTTCAGTGTGGTTTAATACACGTGCCTTAAATTTCATGCAGCATGACCTCATCTTTTGAATGAAGATTTTAATCTTTGAGTTAGTACAACATAAAATAATAATCTTGTAGCTTTGAGGGCAGCTTGTTCAAAAAATAATTTATTACCCAGGAAAGAGAGAAAATAAATTGGCATTCCCAAAACCTAGCTGAAATTTTTATATTTTATATCTGTGGATGAAATTGAAAGTAGTGAGTAGACATACACCACTGTGTCATGATGCTGACATCCTGAAATCTGTGGTTGAGTGACCATCTTAAGGCCCCCTCAGGGTACTTCTATATGCATAGTGAGCCTTTTATCATACAGTCTTTGAATATCTGAACAAGAATTTAGCCTGTCTTGTTTTAGCACTTTTTAAAGTAATAACTATTTAAATATTAACTATGGTGTGGGGAGAAGTTTTAGCTTGCCATCTGTGCTGCTAGTGTTCTGGAAGAAGGGAGAAGAAAAGTTTGTTCTTTCTTTAACAAAGAGCTCCACAAGGCAGTAACAAATTTCTGCCTTGTGCAGTACCTACAGACTTTAATAATTCTGACTAGAAGTCTTACTCAAGCACAGGTACACAAAGTTTTTGCTTTTCAGTCAGAACTAAAGGTATGATGAACTGAAGGGTTTCAAATGGTGGTTTGTCTACATTTTGTAGAGAAGTAGAAACTCGTGTTTAGTGGCTAGAGATCCAATAGGAATGTTAAGAGCCCGAACTGTTTTGCTGTCTAATCTTTTAATCTATGACTCTGGAATAAAGATATATAAAAAAAAAAGTGAAGTTGTTTTTCTTTAATTCATTCTGGAAATAAATGTCTAGGCATCATCTTTATACTCATTGCAGTATCCACACTTGGAGCATACAGGATCAGCTGACTATGCTTTCCAGAGTGCTGCAGAAGTCTAGCATTTCTAACAGCAAGGTATTGATGTGCCTTCTTTCTAATCAATAATTAAAAAAACAGACCCACAAAAACCTCTGTGACACTAAAACATGTGTAGATATAATACTTTGTGGCTCAAGATGAATTCTAATGGAATGCTGAATGAGCATTAACTTCAGCATGGGAAGGGATTAAAGGAATAGCTTTGGTTCAGCATTCTCATGGTAGTGTTCCTGTACAGAGGAAAGGTGTAACAGTAACACCAAGGCTAGTTAAAGGAAAAGTGGCAAGATGCTTTTCTCCTTAATGAGTATTTTTATCTGGTTTTGTTTCCCACGATTCACTTTCCATCAATAAAGGTGTAGATAAGGTCAGAACTACACTAGCTTCCCCTCCCACCCCCAGTCTGCACTCCAAGCACTTGTCACACTCACCATCACAGCTTTCACAGCCCTTCCTAGGCTGAGTTCTGGAATGGCTAGAGATAATCACAGCTCTGAGAAATAAACTGCTTACTCTTAGACTCAACTAGAAGAGCTTCCCTTTAGAAAGGCAATGGTAAAAACTTCTGCAAGTGTAGCCCAGGGAAGATACAAAAGAAAAAAGTGGTCCATTTATAACTTCCTTAGTGAAAAAAATGCATGCAAGTTAGAAAAAGTTATAACCAGACTAGAATCATCAGCAGAGTGTTTTGAAATGTTTATGGATGTTTTGTTTGGCTGGGGATTTTGGGTGGGGTGGGTTTTGGTTTTTTTATTTTTTTTTTTTTTTATATATTTTTGGGGGGGTGAGTTGTTTGGGGTTTTTTTGTTTTGTGTTTCTTTTTCTGCTTGTTGGGTTTTTTTTGGCTTGACAGATCTCAGCAGCTCTCTGGAGGTGATTGGGCTTTGCTTACCAAATGTTTCAGAAATGTCACTACATTGCATTCAGCTACCATCAAACATTTTCTCTTCCCTACCCTTGCTTTGCAGCAGTTAAGTTTCTCCACTTGTTTAAACAAGTGTTTACTCTCAGCCTCAGAACTGCAAGCAGCTCAGATGCCCATTTTCTACAGGTTTTGGAGCCCATGAAATCCCCAAGTCAAAATCTGAGAAGCATGGGATAAGCAGCACTTGTTAGAAAGAAACCCACAGAATGGCAAGATTCAAAATAATATTGAGATACCATTTCTGAATATTTGTTTAGTGTCCCTAACATTGCAGCAAGATAAACATATCATAATACTTTACAAATTAATAGTTAAAAAAGAAACCAGCAAGCAAAAGGAACCTGAATCCAGGTATGCAACTCGCTAAGCTCATAGAAACATACATTCATTTACAGCTAGCAACAGGCTCCTCAGAAACAGCACTGATTACACCAGACAACCATTTCTCCAGGCTACCCTAATAGCAACAATAAGAGATTACTCTTCATCACATAGAGCAATTCTTTCCACTGCAGTAAAAATCCTCTTTCCATAACAAAAGGGGAGAGCAACAGAAGCATACACTTGTTGTCACAGCAGCTCAAAGGCTAAGTGTTGAACCATCTTCCACATCCCACCCAAACCTCCTAGTCTGCCAAAGGAAAACACTTGCAAATGTTAATACTTCTCTGTGAAAAAATGTTTCAAAATACTGCTTCCAACCATAAGGAGAACCAAGTGACTCTTACAGAAGGGCTTTTACTATTAAAGAACACTAAATTAGGTGGCAAATCACAAAGAAAGCTAAGCTGACATTAACAAAGGTTTTTCAGGGCGGATATTTCTGCTAAGGAGGGTGTGGACAGTATTAAAGAGAAATCCTGGTTATCTATCCATTCCTAATTGAAAACAAGAAAAAAAAACCAACTTGCTATGAAAGCCAGAGTGCAAAGCTGAATATGCTTTATGCTAATAAAGCAGATGCCAAGAGAATTTAAAACAACAGTGCCTGCTTTTTCTAGGCAAAAATAAGTCATTATTTGACCTGCATTGGTGATCAAAAGAGAGAATTTCATACAAGTCACAAATAACCACATCCCTTACAACAGTGCTTTTATGCTGATTGCTTGGTAACCTTGTTGCAGGAGAAAATGCAAGAAACCCCTTCACAGATCCATTTTCACCTTTAAAACATAATAAATGGGAATATGTGGAAATGAGTGTAATGTACTTAAGCACAGTGAGGAATCCAGATGAGCATGTTTAACAAATCACTGCTTAAATCAAGCTCTGCTGATGAGAACCTGGGTCAGGAAACAAAGCAAAAGCTCGGAAGCTTTGCTCAGTCTGAACAGAGACAATGAGATGTTTCCCATCTGTTTCAAAGCACCATTTCTAAAGCCTGAAGGGCTGTAGCTCATTTTTTTGCAAGGGAGCAGTGAAAAACCTCTCTCAGAATCTCAATGTCTTGCTTTGCCTCTCTTTTATGCTGACCTAGATTTTTCTAAACACAAGAGGAGTCAACTGGTCCTGCCTGTAGGCTTGGCCTAGTGAGGACTCAAAACTTCTGGCTTGTGGCCAACAGCCTATCCATTCAGTTTGTCTTGCCAGCAATGTGTTTACTCAGGCTGGTGCCTGTCTGCAAGGCCTGCATGAACAGCTCAAGAGATTGCCATGGGTTGTTGAAAGCAAAAGAAACAAACACAAAAATCCCTCGACATTTCCTTTACTAACACTTTTCAGAGGAGAAGCAATGATACGGCACAACCCATACACTGTACAAGACCTTACAAGACCCCTGCAATTCCATATATAACTACAGCACATGCATCAATAGGAAGGAGGAGGAAAGAGAGATACAAGGAACACCACTGTATTTTTTGGCCCCTTTTTTTCCAGACTGTTCTCTCAGAATAAAACCTCTTACGTGCCCCTTGAGTGAACAGACAGGGACTCCAATTTACCAAGTTCAGAAACCACGCAAGTTAAAATGTCCTTCTAAAGACACTTCACTTCTTAGTAAAGAAAACCAAAACAACCAAGCAAACAAAATTAGACACAAACATCATCCTTCTCCACAAATTCCAGAAGCATAAAAGATTTAAAAGTAAAGAAGAATACCTGCATTTAGAAGAGCTTTACAGACAACATCAACAGCACAGCTAAACCCCCTCACCAACATGACCTTCCCCTCCAAAGGTGGGGCAAGCCCCTCATATCCTTTGTGTGGATGCACTCAGGTGTGGTTGATCTGGCTCTGCCCATTAAAGACTCTTCCTTTGTTCAGAGAGACAAGCTGCATAGGCTTAAGGACCCTGTTATATATGTTTAGTACTGAAGTACTTCAAAACGCTCATATCTCATTAGAATGCTTTCCAACCATAGCCACCGTTTTTTGCTGCAATTTCATTTAATATAAATAAAGTGCTTTTTTACAAGGGGAAATTCAGCAGCTCTGCAGGGTATGACATTCAGAATTCTCCCACCATTGAGACAAAGGAAAAAGTTGGGGGCACATGAAAGCAAAGGTTTCTAATAGAAAGAAACTCTGCAAACTTCAATATCCTGTACATGGTAGACTGCTTGCAGTTAAATGAACAGGGAAGAAGGTGACAGGAGAACCAATAAGCTGTCAGGAGAAACAAGGCCATCAAATAAATGACTGGCAGGAATTACAGTCCAACCCCAGCGTCTTGCAGTTGCCTTTTCCAGCCACTAAACCACATGTACCAGGCCCAGATCTATGAAACGTTCGGTGTAGTGTGTGAAAAGCACTTAACTGCGTTTTGGGATGGGAAGGAGGATCACACATTTCTAAATCTTCCACAAGTATTAGGGTAGTTGTCAAGTGCTACTTGTGAGGACATGCCACCTGCACTGGGAGACGAATCTCTCCTGATACCGTGTAAACATGTACTGGTAGAGCTTTAGATGTTAAACCAGAGCTAAAAGGACCTGCCTGAAGAAATTAAGATGTCAATGCAGCAAGAGAGTTTATTTAAATTAAAAATACACCTTGCTTGTACCAGTTCTTGGAAGAAGTTGTTCTGTGTCCTGACAACCTTGCATTCATAGGGCTGCTCCCAAAGCTCAGTAGCTTAGCTCTAGTGGAAATACCCAGGTCAAAACATCCACATACATTTTAGCAGGCAGCCTGCTGCACTCTGATTTGATTTACCAGGTATCATGGACTTCATTCACCTGCAGAAGCCCAGCCCAGGAGGACACTTCTGCACTCAGACTCAACACATTGTCCAGGAACACAACCAGGTACACACAAGTTGGTGTTTGCGTCTGGCCCTGCATGTGAAACAGTAGCATCTCTCAAGAGGAGAT